CGCAAACACGTAATTTCCCCCTCAATGACGCGTATGCTGCCTTAGGGGTTACAAAGAACATGCCATGTGTTAATTTATCGAATTTGGTTATCTTGCACTCCTACGATTTGCATAAAATTTTTTCCGATTTTCCGTATTTATTACTTGAAAAAATGAGCCAAGATTATTTTCAAAAAATGATAATATAAAAAAACAATTTGTACGGAAAAGGTTTTAAATATATGTTATCATACGCTAAAAACAAAAAAAAAATCAAAAATTACGTAAATCTATATTTGTAGTGTTCATGTTCTTGTTCGGAAATAAGGAATTTTTTTATCTCCTAAGTTTAATAAATTTAAGCGTTGAATTCCGCAAATCATCGGTTTCTGTGTCATTTGATTCAGGTGTGATATCTGATGGGTTATCGTAGGATTTCACTTGCACGACAATCGAAGGTTCAAGACTGTACGAAGTAATAACTTCTTTATCAATAAGATCATAAGATCTAAAATCGATCGGCATGTTCGAAGTATTGTATTCCCGTAGAATCTTGGGTAAGCCAGTTGATGATACAGCATAAGCGTGCATACATATTGGACTTGCGGATTTATATAACTCGACTCCTTGACTTTTGCCTAAGAGTGGGCCTTTTGAATCCCCACCACAATGTCCGAGGAATAGCATTTCCCAATCAACGGGTAGAGAATGATGAATGCCAGACATGATTGATAAAATATCAATTTCCATGTCCACATCGTCCTCTAAAATTAATGCACTATCATATGAATTTTCCATCATTGATTGGAAGATTTTATAATGGCTCACCCAACAAGCTTTATATTGTGCATCGAGTCTTCCCGGGAATGCATCTAAGGTTTTCTTATCGAATTTAGAAGTAGCAGGAAAAATTTCAAAGTCCAAATTGAGTGCATTCGCGATAGCTTCCATCTTCTTGCGTCTATCAGTTCGATAAGGAAGGTTGATGACGTAAATATGCCCGAATCCAAGAGTGCGTTCTAAAGAAACGGGTCCACTTGGAATACAAGTAGGCAAGGGCGCAATCTCGAACCAAAAGCATATACATAATAATATTGTTACTATTATCAAGAAACGGAAAATTATCAAAATTTTTGACATGGCTAATGAAAGATACACTTGAAGAAAATTTTTGTTTCGTTTATAATAGAAATTTCATACTCAGCCACATCAACATATGTATGATCAATCTAGACAGGATCGAACAGGATTAGGTATAAAAATTAATGATTGTATAATCGTTTTAAATACATGATTACCTTATATGAAAAAATTTGTTGGAAAAAGAACCATATTCTACCAATAATTTACATAACTCGATAAAAGCCAGTATAGTAGAGATAATTAGAGAATTGTCACGTGATCACGCTAATGTACACACCTCTACAATTAGAAACGTTTAATATTTAATTAACCAGGGACTGTTGTTAAGTCCGAAGCCAAGTGATAGTTTTCTATTATACTGTACCAGGATAGTTTGAATCACTAAATACAGAGGTGGATTGGCCGAATGTTTGAATAATTTAATACAGGGGTGGGCAGACGGATATTTTTTACAATTTCTTTAACACGGTTTGTTATTAATTCAAAATAGTTCAATTTTATTTGATTTATAATTTTGTAAATAATTAATAAAACAAAATGATATCCATATATTTCGTATTTATAAATTTAAAGATTATAATCATTTAAAAAAATTTTTTATCAAATTATCATTAAATTTAAATTTAAAAACAAGAAGCTTATTTAAAAATGATTAATCGTTTTTTATTGACTTTTCAAAAAAAATTATAAATTATTAAATTTTTTTAATAAAGAAAATTTTGGACAATAACTAATTAATAAATAAATTTGTTAGATAATAACTAATAAAATTGTAACTATTTTTTTTATCATTTTTTTATTTAAATATTCTATAGGTTAATTGTTGATTTTTGAAAGTTCATTTTTTGCTAAAAATCAATATATCAAGATTTGAATTATAAAAATATATTATATATGATAATAATAGATATGTATGTGTATATATACATGCAATTAATTAATAAATATGTTTTAAAAAATTTTTATTCGTATATAACCACTATATAAATGCTAATGAAAATAGGTCACAATTTTTTACAATCGATATGTGGATTGACGCTTATTAATTGATCATAGAGTATTGTGACATTATCGGCAGTAACAGGGTAGACTTTTGGATAGTATTGCAAATACAATCAACGAACGATTTGGAACCACCTATACAGGATATCAATGTAAAGAGTATATTTAGAAATTCGCTATTACTGCAGGAGAAAAAAATTGCAACTCTATTATTTTGATGTCTGCATAAGTAATAAATAAAAAAACTTTATATAAAATTATGCTCGGCCAAGTGTTTTGAATTTTCTATTAGTCTTTACGTCTACTACATTGACATCGCTTGTTGCACTTCAAATTTAAGTTCGGATAATATCAAATATGTAGCATCTCATATTACAGTATAAAGAATAATGAGTGCTCACGTGATGGTGGAATTCTATGACTTATGTTTATATTAAGTAACTGATCAATCGATTTCTGTATATCCGTCACTACATTTGCTTTTCATATAAATAACCATGTCCAACAACATTGCAAGTACTTCTACGAGTGCTCCTACAGCTGGTCTTTCGACAGTTGAAATTAATGAATGGAGTCGAAATAGGGTTAAGGAATTTTTGCAAGAAAGGAGAGCTGAATTAGATCTTGAGGACGAAGATATCAATATAATATATAATCAGAGAGTCAGGGGTGACATCTTCCTTAAATTAACCGAAGTAACTCTTGAAAGGTGGGGAATACCAGGTGGACCGGCTATAGCAATCACAGAATTGGTTAAACAAGTTAAAGGAGGTAAGTGAACTTATTCTCATCCAAACCATATCATATTTGCCAATTATATTGAATACTAACTTATTCTTATTGTTAAATCTGCCCAAAAAACATATTCACGTTATAATAGAGCAATCTGGTGCTCTGGTAAGTGAGCCATAATAAATTTGGTGAACACATCTTGGCTTGACTTTATAGCCATTGTTGCTTTGTTTTTTATCTGTGCTATGTCACATTGATATTTCAAACCCTGACAAATCTGTCTTCATTATGAAAGTATTAAATATTTTATGTAGCTGGCATTTTAAAATCAAACACCGGACTTGTGTCTGTTTTTGTGGACAATTCCAACTTGTTTATCGAAGGAAAGTATACTATAGGTCAATTAGAAAAAGCAGGCACATTTGATTAACAAAGAAATTCCTTTTACCTTAACCAGCTTCACATTGATCATGGTCATCTTCTATCAACAATATTGAAAAGACAGCAAATGGGTAGCAATCCAATTATTGTTGGCTCTCGTCCACTACCAAACGATTCACTATGGAAGCAAATCCGAAATCAAGGTTATGATGTAGTTGTTTACAACCGAAATATCGAAAACAAAGAAAAAAAAGTAGATATGGCTCTCGGGGTTTCGATAATGAATGTCATCTGGTTTAATAATCCTGGTGTACTCATTCTAATAGCTGGTGATGGGGATTATGAGCCTGTAATAAATGAGGCTCTAAAACACAAGTGGAAAGTTGAAATTTGGTTTTGGTCATCAGGTATGAAATATTGTTGTATTTAAATCACATAGGTTCTCTAAATAAATATCTTATTATATAGAAATATCTGATGATCTCATGAGAAAATCTATTTTTTATTCTTTGGATAATTTCTATTGACATTTTACATATGCGTATAGACAAGACCCTGTTGGAAAAAACTATACCCTTGAAATAACTGATGGTGAAACAATTGAAAAATGAGGAGATAATAAAGTAATGAATTGTTTTGTTTCATTAAAATTATATGGATGGTGGTATCAAAAGGAAAGACATATTATATATTTGTACTTCGATAACAAAACAAACTTGGAAAAGGCAAAAAATTGGGTGGTGATTAAATATCCTAATATACAGGTTTGGGAAATAGAAAAGAGAGATAAGCGTTATTAAACATAGTATACATTTTTTTAGTATTGATATAAATAAAACAAACCAATTTTAACTTGCTTTGGGTTGGGTTTGCATGAATGTCGATCAGTAATTATATTCTTAACGCAAACCACTGATAATGACCCATGAACAATTATTATACCTTTGGAATCCCACTTATTTTGTATCATTTGTTTATTTATAGATGTGACTTTGTGAATCGTTAAAGCAATTACACATAATAGGGAATCTAAAGTTGCCTGCAGAAACTTCTTAGTAAACCGTCACACTTTACTCGATAGAATTTATTTGTATATTATTAATAAAAAAGATTTTGGGATTCAATTTTTGATATTTTTTAACCATGCGTGTATTCATTCGATGTGGATAATTGACCTTACAAAAATAATGCACATGTTCTGAATGCAATTCACTATGCAATGATCATGATTAATGAAGCATTTAAAGTTTTAAGTTTACTCGATAAGACCCAATTCTCGAAGATGCTCTGGAATAACTATATGGGTCTTTATAATACCAGACATACTTAAAACAATCCAGTTTTCTTTGCACAATTCATTCTTGAGTTGATTCCGCTTTTGTTGCCAGACAAAATTATTAGGATCTCCTTTATAAAAGAATTTTGATATCTTTCATATTGAGGTCCCTGAACTTCAATAGCAAAACCATAATTATAGTAAGGAATGTCAAGTTCCAATTCATTTGGATTTTCAGAAGTTTTCAAAAACTCTGGTCTACGCTTTGCTGATGGAGAACCAAGATAATTTGATACTATTTCTCGACATAAATTTTCATACTTATTTTTACAATATGAACACCAGGTATTATGATTTTGAATAATATAAGATGATATACACTAAGTATGTCCTTCAGCGCATTTCCAATAATATAAATCTTTAGATTTGGTATATTTTTTAGAAAGGCATTCGCCACCATGCAAATGAGCAGTTTTTTGCAACTTATCGAGGTTTAATTTAAATCCACGTTTTGCACATTGTGGACATCAAGTACAGTATTATGATTTTTTATACTATTAAGGGATGCATACCATATATAATAGTTATTCACCGGGATGCCATAGATATCATTAATCACCACGGCTATTGCCGTGGTGATTAATGATATTGAGGCTGATCGGTGAATAACTGTTTTATATCACAGAGCCTAACGTCCCGTGATTTTAATTTGATATATCACGGGTAACTAATAATGTTATAATAAATTAACCTTTTTTAAAAAAAAAAAAATAGACTTTTCTTCTCGAAATTATGAAAAATAAATTAAAACAAAAATCTTCAGCAGTTACTTTTCTCACATCAAGTTTCAAAACAGCAAAAATGGTACTTGAAAATGATAATTTAAACAATTCTATCGAAAAAATCAAAAATAATGATACTCAAATTCAAGATGTTGTGCAAGATAAAGTTTCTTATTATCGTGAAAAAGTCAAAATTAGAAATATCAAAAAATTAACCAAGAATTAGATCATTAGATTTGAAGAATTTCACACTGATGCTGGTTATTTGATTTCATTGACTGATCTTAGCGATATTAAACAACTTCAACAACAAATTATAGAATATATTTTGACAATAAAAAAACAAAATGGAAATGATTATAAAGCAACTTCAGTTAAACAAGCTATTGATGCTCTCAATCAATATTTTTTTTATCATTCACCTATTCCTGGAATTAATTTGCATGACAAATATATGTTTCCTGATCTTCACAATGTTTTGCATGGCAAGTTATGAGATCTTCAAGAACGTGAATTTGGCGAAACATCAAGTTCAATTGCTCTTAATTCTCAACAAATTTATGATATTCTTCAGTATCCTAAAATGAATTGTACTGATCCTGAAAGTCTTTTATACCATGTATTTTTCCATCTATTAGTTATTCTTACTATGCGTGGAGGAGAACATTATGAACTTAAGGTTGATTAATTCAAATCTGATGAATCTGGTGGTTTACAATTTTTTCGTTACACTTCTAAAAATAATCAACGTGGATTATAAGGACAAGCTCATATTATTTCAATACCTACAGATGATACTGGACCTTGTGTTGATATACAATTTTATTTATCTAAATGTCCATCTTCAGCTGATTCAAATTTTTATTTGCAACCTAATTTATCTTGATTTGAGACGAGTATTTGGTACAAATTAAATTATTTAGGAAAAAATAAGTTAAGTAAATTTATGCAAGAAATTGGACACAAGACAGAAATTAATATTTCTCTTAATTTACTTACCAATCAATCGGGACGAAAAACAGCTGCTCAACACTTACATGATCTAGATATTCAAGAACAAGTGATTATGGCACATATAGGTCATAAAAGTGTTCAAGGAATCCGTATTTACAAAAAAGTCAACAAAGAACAACAACTTAATACAGTAAATGCTTTGATTAATATTACTGATAGGGTATCTAACAATAATTTAAATTCAAAAATTCTGTTACAAAATATTTCATTGAATTCTTTAAAATCTCATAATAATGATTCTTCTGAAATCCCTATTTTTCAAAATTGTACATTTTCAAATGTTTCGTTTTATATTCAAAAATAATTCTAATGGTGTTATTTGTAACATAATATGATTTGTAATTTGTTTATTTAATAATAATAAATGTAATTTGCTTACTTTAATCAATAAAATATCAATAAAAAAAATCACGGGCAACTGATTAGGAAACATGGTATAAAGTATAGATATTTAATCAAAAAACAGATAATATTTGAATAATTAATTTTTAATAACAAATATTATAGATATTATATATTACTTTAAAATTTCTTAATGTTTCCAAAAAACTTAGCTTTTCTATTATTTCATCTAATGATAAATTTAATCTATATCTTTTGATTTTTATCTGATTTCAGATAATAATACATAAATAAATTAATATTTAAGATAATCTTCATTATATTAGATTCCAATACTAATTGTAATATTATAGGCAAAAATATAGCAAAAATAATAAACTTGAAAATTTATAATACATCTGATACAGAAATATATAGTTCTATTAGTAAGCTCAATATATTGAAAATAATTTATGCAATAGAAATGTTGATCCTGTCTTAATATTAAAAATAAAAGCAAGTAAAAATTGGAATATTTTGTTATTAATAAACTGGAACTTAATTTTATACTGATATTGAATTAGCCATGGTTCTAGAAAAATACCATAAAAATAAACTTCCTAAATAAACTCTTATATTGTTTTATAAAACTGATATATAATTAGTTATTGGATTAAAAATTCCATCAATACAACTTAATTAGTCTATAGATAATTATTTCAAGATGATAAAGGTATATACTATAGCATTAAATATTGACTTAAATAATTAAGATTTTAAGAGAACTTTTTTAATAACCTGTTATAAGATACTAATAAAATAATTTAATTTGGCTTTAAAAAGTATTTAAATAAAATAGTTAATCACTTGAATAAAATCTTATCCAGATAAACCAATATTCAAAATTTTCAATTTGAAAATTTGAGACAAGAGAAGAATTCAATAATAAATTTTTATATAAAAGTAAAAAAATATTATAAATTAATTGGACATAACTGTTATTGATATTTTATTGATTTCATAAAATAAAATTTTTATTTTAATATTTTATTGTAATAATATATTTAATTTTGCATTTTTAAATTAATATTAATAAATAATATTATAATATTAACAACAACTAAATCTACTATTAATTTAAGTATTAACTGGTTAACTATAATTAAAAAATTTGCTAAAAAATCAGAAATAGAAATTATTGAAAATAGATATAAATTTCAGAATAATTATAGTATGAAACCAATATTGTTAATCAAATATGAGATAAAAAATCTGAATCTTTTTTTACAAATTACTGAAAATAGTAAAACCCAAGATTTAACAAAAAATTATTAACTTAATAGCAAACCTAAATATTCCTAAAAAACATATTCTATATAAGGCCAAAAGAAAATACAAAACTAAAAAAAAACAATTTTTAATAATACTGTATCTAAGTTTTTATTCACATCTAAATTTGGATTCTGCTCTAAATTCAAATTTGATTCTAATAATAACAAAACAATTATACTGTTACACTTGATCTTCGCCCAAGATCATCACTACCCCTTGTCCGATTTCCACTAGCATTTACCCTTGAAATG